ACGTATGCAAATTTTACATGATTTTCAACATGATTCAAATATAAAAATAATTTTGTTTCAAAAGTTGCTGATACATCATTCGATTTATCTGATGCTAATGTATTAATACAAATATCAAGTCATGGAGGATCAAGAAGCACAACGACTTGGTCGAATTTTACGACCTAAAAAAGGGACTAGTCATCAAGAGTATAATAGCTTTTTCTATTCACTTGTTTCACAAGATACTATTGAAATGTATAATTCAGCTAAACGAAAAAGCTTTCTTATTAATCAAGGTAATTCATACCAAATCATAACAGGATTAGTTAATGAAGAACATCAACTATTCTTTTCAACAAAACAAGACCAACAACAAATACTTCGAACAATTCTTCAACAAACAGATCCCCCTGAAGATAAAGAAGCAAAATCTATAGAACAAATTGTACTATTGATCACCTCAGTTGATCGATATGTCAATCCATCAAACAAAGTGAAACATGAACTATTTAAAAAATATCGAAAATAATTTCATTAATATATATAAATATAATAAAAAATAAAAACTTTAATTATCTGTTTGAATCCTTATACTTCCTTCTGTCAAACGTCACAAAAACTCTATAAAAAAAATTCAAAAAAATCTTAAACCAAAAGCAAGAAGTAGTCTGATCATTTACAAATGCCGATAAAAAAGAAAGCTCTGATTCATGTGAGAGCAAAAAAAAGAGGAACTTTCTTCCATGCACAGACTCCCACCATGTAAATTCTTGTGATGACTAAAAAACCACCCAACATACGATACGATTCTTCTTTTCATCACGCAGGCAAAGATTCTCCCGAAAAAACAAAGAAGGACATATATGACATATCAATACAGTACACTCTTTCGTAATTATCATTTTTCTTTTTCAAAACAAATGTTGCTCTGGCAAACTAGTGTTAACACCTATCCGCACTTTTTCGTCATTGCAACATGTATTTGATCAGATTTGATCATTTACCTCTTGATAAGTTGTAATAAGCAACTTTTCTTGTAGGTGCGCAGCCCACGACATCTGTTTTGTCTTTACACATTACACATTTTTCTTGTTCTGTGCACTGAGAAATGTGTAAGAAGGAGACCAATATCGAGCTTTCAGTTTATTAAAATAGTTATCGCTTC